TGTCCACTCTTTGAGGCCATCCATACATTCCCAGAATCTGTCTCCAGATCTCCAGTCAATACCCGAAACAGTGATGTCTTTCCCGAACCATTCAAACCCAATAAACCCATACATTCACCCCTTTTCACCACAAATGACACCCCATTTGGCATAACTGTCCTCTTGTTTAGACGTTTTGTCAATTTGTCGACAATTAGTGAATAGCTTTCAAAGTCTCCGCTTCTTATCACTTGTGATATCCTTTCTCTCTCTTCCCTCACATCCCGTCTGTCATTCATTTCCATTAATTCAATATTATTTTCATTAGACTTTTTGCACAAATTCTTCAAAAATCTTTTCACAGAATAATAACATTTGTTTTCAATGAGTAAAATGATAACCAAATAGAAAAGCCCATAAATGGCAAAATGACAATAATATGTACTCATATATTCAAATGGATTTATCCATTCATAGCAATAGTCCCTAAACTCATCCATAAACACGTGATGACTATTAACTCTATAATTTGTATAATACTTCACATCTGGTGTATAACAAGAGTGTGGACAACATGTCTTGTAATATTTATACGTTGTATTTGATTCACATATTTCTAAGGCGTTTGGATTAGATTTGACATAATTATGGCAAAAGTTGTTTGCATTCAGAATTTGATTCAAATGGTTCATACAATTCAAGAATAAACTGCTCGGAGTTAGTAGTGATACCAATTCTTCGACACTTTTTATTATTATTAATTCACTGTTTAATTCATTTTCACTTATTCGCGACAATCCGTGAATTAATAGTAAAAATAGTTGTAATAAAGTAGCGATAGTTCCGCCGATTATGTTATATAAGGAAATGAATGTAAAACCCGTCGACGGCTTTGAGAACATAAATGACACCAAATATGCGAACGGAATGAATGCCATTCCGTATGACATGAATGTCAGGTACAGAGAGATCACAGAATAGTCTTTTCCCGTGAAATGAGAGTTTGTGTCAAATATGTAATAAATGAATACATAAACTGCTGAACAGATTGAGTGTATAGTGAAGTCAAATATAAAGTTTGAGATCCAATAGAGAGTGGGATTGAGTCCAGACATCAATTGAATTAATTTGAATCGAGTTCTCCATTCAGTCAACTGCTGAACAGATTGAGTGTATAGTGAAGTCAAATATAAAGTTTGAGACCCAATAGAGAGTGGGATTGAGTCCAGACATCAATTGAATTAATTTGAATCGAGTTCTCCATTCAGTCAGCGGTTGTAAGACATATGCGGCAGAAGTGAACGAAAATAGTATTAGGAATACGATGTAATCGATTGCAAAAACTGCTGAAGTTTTATGATAAAGTCTTTCATATGTTATAATACTTTGACTTAAAATGGGTTTATTAGTGACACTAATCTCGTAGTCGTTGTCCTGAGTTAAATGTTTGAGTAAAGCGTTTGTCATTAGATTCAGTGAAATGGGAAGTGAATGAAGTGCCATAATATTGTGCCAAACATAAACATTCAGTGTATTATTATTATCTGAGATATTAGTCGAGATATTAGTCGAGACACCGAATAATAAATATTTCAAATAATCAATTAATCCGTTTTCATCGTTATATGACAGAAGTTTGTGTTGAATATCTTTGTGGACATCACTTCCAAAATCTCTGTTATTTATTCTATTATCACTTAACACTTTGACATAACTTTTCATAAATTCTGTATCACTTGACACGTGAAACCCTTTCACTCGTTTTCCGTATATTTTATCACTTTTTAAATTGATTTCCACTTCTGGATACAAAATTGAATCAAAATCTATAGAGATTTCAATATAAACAAACCGTATTATTAGACAAATTATAGGAATTATTAATAATGTTAAATAAAATGTGAAATGTTTTGAATGAAGTTGAAGTCGTTTCATAAATATTCCGTGGATTTCACTTAAAACGAGATTTAGATATGAGTTATGTTTTGAATGAATATTAAGTGATTGAGTGTTCAGTAGATTATCATTATTTTGATCAATAGTTAATTCATTATTATTACTAAAATTATCAATTGATTTGTTGTCGTGTTTTGAGACAATCTTCTCATACGATGTCTCAAGAGTTGTCATACTTAAGGAAATGTCATTAATGGCTAAAATACTCTCATTTTCCTCTAATTCCCCAAACATTTTGCCAAATCTATGGCTGTCTTCAAAGTTGAGTTCATAAACCAGTTCTTCATTGTCTGTCAATTCGTTTTTGACTAAACTTTTAATTTCAACACTTTTTCCAATAATTTCTGTGATTTTGTTTTCCGTTTGAAATTCAATACTCTTTTTGATTTTCAAATGATATCCGGAATTGAATTGACTTTTCATTTCAAGAGGGGATCCATTGAAACATACCTTTCCTTCGGATATAATGCAGATCTGATCCGAAAGTTTATTCGCTTCTTCGAAGTCATGAGAAGTAATTAAAAGTGATTTCGTTTTTCTTGAGTCAAGGATCAGATCCCAGACCTTTCGCCTGACTCTGGGATCCAAAGCAGCCGTCGGTTCGTCTAATATTAAGGTTCGGAAATTGAATTGATTTTTCATTTCAAGAGGGGATCCATTGAAACATACCTTTCCTTCGGATATAATGTAGATCTGATCCGAAAGTTTATTCGCTTCTTCGAAGTCATGAGAAGTAATTAAAAGTGATTTAGTTTTTCTTGAGTCAAGGATCAGATCCCAGACCTTTCGCCTGACTCTGGGATCCAAAGCAGCCGTCGGTTCGTCTAATATTAAGGTTCGGTTGCGTCCGACGAAAGCCATCGCCAAAACCAATCGTCTGAGTGTTCCGCCCGACAGAAGATACGCCTCTTTGTTTAGGTCTTCCTCGAGATCTAACCATTGGATCAGTTGTTGACCACTATATCCATCATTACTTTGACGTATTGTTTGTTTCAATTGCGAGAAAATCATTAAATGGTCTCTAATTGTCAAGTATTTGAAGTAAACATTATTTTGCGGACAAATTCCGCACTCATTTCGAGCCAATTGTGTCTCTCGTGTGATATCGTGTCCACCGATTGTCACCTTTCCTTCAAAGTCTAATAATCCTTTGGAAAGATATTATTCATATTAATATATATTTAGTATAATTCAAGAAA